CCCCCCCCCAATACTTCTGCTCTGCAACTCCTCGCTTATTGCTTACAATCTACACATTGGCATTTGGAGTCTGACCATCGGAAACGAAGGAAATGCTTAGCAAACGACAAGCAGAGCAGCGGGGAGGGTTGGGCACAGCTACAGGAAACATGTGGCCTCAAGATTGGGTGCACGACACCAGCCTGTGCATTAGTCCAGGCATGGCTAGAAGGTCTGTATTGGAGGCCCAGTCAGGTGAGGCAGAATGTTCCCGTATGTTGCAAAGAACTTTCAAGGGTGATCAGTGTGTTTGTGTGCACGGTGAAGGAAATACAAAACCATAGCTGAAGAAAAGGTACAGCGTTGTGACCTGGCTGGAGATCTGGCTCCTGGTATCTCCAGCTGGCATTTTGATAGGACTAGACAGCAGGTAATAAAAAGAACACGGCCAATACTGAGAATAACTACTAGCTATCACAACGGACAAGTGATCTGGATCATTCAACATTAATCAAAATGGCCCTTCCCCTACCTGGCGTCTGCCAGCTTCTTTGGGACTACAAGTTCTGAATGCTAGAAACACCAGTACAATGTCTTCAACTAACTTGCCATACACCCTGAGCATAGCCCTCTGCTCGTGGTACAGGTGGACCTTCTGACATCATTGTACCTGTCTTCAGAGAAAGGCAACTGCCTGTCTGCTTCTCTTCTCCTCATACTCCCCACCCAGGGCTGGGGTTGGGTTTTTTTTTTGGTCATAAAATAAATCTGCTTTTATCTAAACATCCAGTGCCTGGCCATGTTTAGATAGAGTTCCTGGCAAAACTCCAGTCAAAGTACGAGGAATCACAGTGACTCAGTGACAGAAGCTTTGAATATGACTATTTCAATCATCCACATTCCTGATCAAAAAGTCACCCATCAATCCAGGTACTTCAGAGCCAATACGAGAAGAGGTAGACGGCTGGACAGAGTCTTCTTGCCTTACTCAATTTAAATTATGTTCAGTAGGTGAAAAGGAACAGATTTTTTTTAGACAATAGAAGCTAGTGTTTAACTTTTTCATGGCAACTCCCACTGCTAAGAGCACATACAGAGAAATCTCAGTGCTGCTTTTTTGATCACCTAAAATGGAAATACGGGAGATTACAAGGTCCACCACCATCATGAGGAGATGCCCTTTGCGGGGAGCCACATTCATTGTTCAAGGTCATGTGGATGAGGAGCAACTGGTGCAATTTCCAGAAAGGTGGCCAGTTCCAGAAAGTGAATTCGGTGCCTCCAAGGGCTGAGTTTAGGTAACATGGAAGGATAATATAATGATCACTGGTATGCATATGTGTGAGAGAGAGAAAGAGAGAAGGGAAGCAGGCTAAATCGGGAAGATCTGTAGAATTTTGAGCAAGATTCCAAAATGTCTTGGCTTGCTTTGGATATGATGTACTTTGACTTGGAATACTATTATAGTTCTTCTGCCCTGGCCAAAATAAAAAAACCACTCTTGAACAGATCCAGAACTCCTTACATGAACCAACCAGCAATAGCAAAGAGCATGGTAGGAACAGGGAGTTTCATTTACGAAAGAAAAGCATCCGAAACTAATTTGCTTTTAATTACAAGAAATATCAAACACTTTTTGGTCACTGTACAAATAGTTGGATAGTAGGTTGATAGTTAAACACGTCAAGTGGGGGCTGTATAGACATTCTCTTACATAGCAATTCCATAAAATGAGCTATTACAAACTGATAAATTGATACATAGAGCCATCTTGCTACATTGATTGCAAGGATTATTTAAAAATAAAAAATAAAAAGATTTAAGAA